AATATATAACAAATGTCATGCAGTTTTCTAGTTAAATAATAAAATTGTTTAAAACTCAAAATTTTCTTTAAGACTCTCACAAAATTTAGAACTCTTTTTTTTTTATAAAAAAGCTATTTACAAACTGAAAAATATGAAAAAGCTTTTTCAGCTTTTTTTTTTGCAGGCTAAAATTATCAAAGCATTTTTTATTATTATTTTTAGCTTTGCAAAACTAAATTGTACTATGTATACACACACACACACACACACACACACACACACACACACACACATATATATATATAAATTGTTAAATTATTTAAATTAGCACCAGTAAATGCAATGGCTTTTAATGGTGCCCACACTTCCATTTCAAAACCTGTTTCAAAACTTATAAATTTAAATAACAATAATACTTCTAAAATTCTTTAATAATCTTTAAAATTTAAAAATCTTTTTATTTTGTTTATGTTATTAACTTCGTTTTCTTAAATTATTTCCATTTGATGGTTGAAATTAATTTATACTTTTATATACGAGCTTTTTTTGTGTTTCCTATCTAGAATTTATTTATATTTAAAAATCTTACTTCTTTTTTTTTTTTTTAAATATTATATATCTAAAAAGAAAAAAAAGTAAGTATTATAATAATATATAGTATAGTAATATAAAGTACTAATAAAGTATAAAATAATATAAAGTATTATAATAATATTTTCTTTTTAAATATATATCAAAATATTTTATATTTCTTTCTTTTTTTTTTCTTTATTTGTTTAATTTTTTTTTTCGTTGAGTCATTGCAAAGTTAAATATTTACTAAAAAAGGCGGAAATTATCATCTATGAAATTAGAGGATCTGTATTCTTACCATTTTAAAAAAGTTAAAACTTGTTAAACAAATGTGAGTTTGCTTTGCCTGGATTTAATTAATAAAATTATAAATTTAAAAAAAAAAATGTAAACCATTGTAAATATTAAATCTACCATTTTAAATGAAAGTTTATAGTTTTTAGCAAAACCAATTTAAAGTAACTGTTGATTCAGTCTTTGCCAGACACATCCTAGCATTAAGAGGTTCTTCTGATGTTGTTTGTACACCGTGTGAGATATAGTTTTAAATTGAGCAATGAATTAAGGCAATATAAAATAAAACTCAATATTTTTCTCCTTAATCAATTCAAAATGAATTGATTGATTCTTTCGGTGATTCAGTTCAAAACATTGAGAATGAAAAATTTAAAGTTTTTTCCTATTATGCTTGATTGCACCGCAGATATCTCCCATTGTTTGATGGGAGATATCTCCATATGTTCAGATCAATGCATAATAGCAGAAATTTTTGTTGATTCTATTAAAAGTCATTAAAAACTGGCCTGCTTAACTAGTTTTTAAAAGTTATAAGTTATAGACATATTTTAAAATGATGTTCTAGACATAAAGATTGCAGAGGATAATGCTATGACACCGCTCCAAAAAGGTTGTAAGATACAACTGAGTTCAAGTTTAAATTAACATGCAAGATGTACATTTCATACTCTAAATCTGAATATATACAGCTAAAAGTACGATGTTAATCAATTTTTTTGCTTTTGCATGTTCAAAAAATCTTTAACTTTTTCTAAAGGCCTAAATCAAGATAAAAAAAATACTGATAAATACACTGACGATTTCCTTAAAATGACGCAGTGGCCAAAATGGTCAGCCAGAAAAAATAGACATTTCCTTCCCTTTACATTCAAATAAGTGATTTTTTTTTTTAAAAATATGTTAATTCACCTCCCGAAGGCCATGAAGGCTCCTACAGTCAAGAAGACTACTTTGATTGTAGTTACAACCTTCTCTCAACTCTATAACTCCAAAATACAAATCTTGTTGAACAATGCCGTTACGCGGAAAACAAGGTGAGCGCGGTACTGCTAGGGACAGAATGTGGATCGAATTCTAAACTTTTTATTATTATAAACTTCCTCTTGCTTATGAGGCGAGCGTTTTAACAATACACTGTTATATAAGATATCATAAATGACACGATTTTGAATAATTGAACTATTTAAGACCTTCAAACAAATTGATTTTGAATTCTTATGCTTGCTCATTTTTTGAAGTAAGATTCTGGCCCTAATTGACAAAAAAGCAGTAGTTAAGAACAATTTGTTTCAATCAGATTGTTTCTCCTTGCAGCAGCCTTGTTTTTTGAGATTCTTGTTTTGGAGCTATAGAATTGAGAGAGGAGTGTAACCACAAAAAGTAGCCTCCTCGACTGTAGTGGTCTTCTCGGCCTTGGAAAGGTAAATAATTATATATATATATATATATATATATATATATATATATATATATATATATATATATATATATATATATATATATATATATATATATATATATATATATTAAATTTATAAACACTTTCAATTAAATCAAGAGTGGTGAATTCTCTCAATTACGGTAATGTAATCAAGGAACTTGCATCATCAAAAGAAAACATATCAACCTAACCACACCAAACCATTTGGCATGATCCCTTCTCCATATCCAGCGGCAATTTTAGAAATAAAATAAGGATAGCGGGAGAGGGGGGAGGGTAGAGAGAATGGTTTGAATCTTTAAAAAATGCCGACTGCTTTCGTCTGCTCAAATGTAAAAATCTGTCGACTAAAATATGTCAAATGTTGACAATCTGACTATATTTATGACTATATTAGACTATATTCTGACTATATTAGAATTTATAAAAATAATATTAATAAACCAAGAAAAAAACTTTATAATAAAAATTTTGGTTCCTAATCTGCCTAATATTGCTTCGCGATACTGCCTTGTAAAGTTTCAACATAACTAGTATTGCTAGTAAAATATTAATAATTTTATATTAACAGTTTTTTAAAGATTTTTAATATTAAAAAATTATTCATTCAATTCTAATGTGTAATCTTTGAAAAATTATTAGTATAAAAAAATTAAAAAATATATTTTAACCTGAGTTCATGAATCGTTTTTTAATCCTTGAAATTTTCTCATCGGACAACAATAGTACAACTCAAACTTAACAAGACGTCACCATTTTCTCCAGAGTCGAATCAAGAAAAAAGGCTTCAAACTCCCCAGAGACTGTTTATAGATTTAATTTATCATTTTTTCATTAGAAATATTTGTTACTTTGATTTAGAAAAATTAAAAGTCAATTTAAAAAAGATTAATAATTAAAATAATAAAATAATCAAACTTGAGACGTTTTTCTTACACGTTTTTTTATATTTTGAAAGCTTAAACGTTAAACATATATATATATATATATATATATATATATATATATATATATATATATATATATATATATATATATATATATATATATATATATATATATATATATATATATATATATATATATATATATACATATATATATATATATATATATATATATATATATATATATATATATATATATATATATATATATATATATATATATATATATATATAAAATATATATATGTATTTTTTTTCTTCTTAAAAAATAAAAAATATATGTTTTTTTATTTTTTATCCCAACAAGCCCATATTGATCTACAATTAAATTTGTATATATGTAGTATTTCTAAACATAAGCAAAATCATCTATTATTAAACTTTTTAATTGGTGAAATTTAGTTTTTTAAAGTGTCTTAAATTTTAAAACCATTTATTCGAAGAAATGAGTTATATTCATTCTGTTCTGATTTTTTTTTGGTCACTCCTAGAACGGGTTAACATTCAACTATTACTTAGAGTTGTTACCAGTTTTCAAGCATATGTCACACTTGAATAATAATACAGTAACATATAAATGAACCAATCTTGTAACAAATATAATTAGTCGTTTAAAAATAGACCAAAAATTACGTCAGTCCTATTTTAAAATAAAAGTTTTTTTTTTTAATATCGAATAAGAAAAGACGTATTAAAAAAGGCATTTAGTATCGTGGTTGGATATTGTATTTATAAAACGAACATTGACTTCTATTCCAATTAAATACATAGACACCGTGAAGCGTGCAAATTTTTTGTCAAAAAAAAAACTTCCTATTTTAAAATAATTGATTTTAAATTAGTTATACAAATAATCTCCGATTATCGTTAGTAGAAAGTTGATTTTAAAAATTTATGTGTTGTGAGCAAAAACTGAAACTATACTTTTTTTCAAATTAAATGAATTATGAAAAATTCTCGAAAGACAGGGTTTTATTGGCCGTATCGGAAAAAAGATGACGAAAGGTATGCTTTGCTTGAATACAAAAGTAAATTTAAAGACATGAATATAATAATATTTCCGGTTTCTAAAATTGCAATAGCAAAATGAATTGTCAATAAGAAATTGTGCTATAAAGTTTGTTTAAATCGTTTTAAAATTTTCTTACTTAATAAAACAATCATTTTATGTTTAATACCATACACAAATTCATTCCAACTTTAGCTTACGTTTTCATACATTACTGTCAGACCAATTAAACAATTTGAGAAGCATACTTTAAAAATAAAGTATAGTTCATTTATTATAATTTTAATAAGTTATAAATCTTATACACTGCTATCTTATTATCAAAATTGTAAATATTAACTGAAAAATTGAATAAGCGTAATTAAGAGGTCATACATTAAAAGATGGGTTTGGTTCGATTAAAAACCTTGAAAGCCAAACCCATTGAATATTGTTTGGGGTAAAATGTAATCATGATGCTTAGTAGGTTTGAAGTCAATCAGTAAACATTATTGTAGTATTTAAATATATATAATGGGAGTGACTAAAACGCAAAACAAGTATTTATAATAATATTTATAAAATACATGCCCACAAGTATTTAGAATAATATTTATAAATACACGCCCACAAAGTGCTTAGAATAATATTTATAAAACTTCAACTTAAATTGTTTCTGTTTTTTAAAAAGTACGTTCAAAAAAAATTTTAAATCTTAACTTAAAATAAACATTTAAATATATTTAGTAAGCCCCAAAACCTTTATTTTCAGTTACGGAAACAATCGACCTCCTCAATATCAAACTCCAGCTTTACCATCAAGTTTGCCTCATTCACCATGGCAACAGCAAAGTTCTTATCCTTCACCACATGGACAAGGGGGAAGTCAATATTATCAACAGCAGCAGTCTTTTTCACAAATGCCAGCCATTACAGAAAGACATAGTAACAGCGACGCTTTATTTTCAAATAGATACTTACCAAATACTGAAGAAAGACATGAACCAATTCCGCTAGGTATTTATAATATGATATTGTGAGAAACAGGGCCGGACTAAGAATTTCACACAAAAAAGAAAAAAAAGCTTGATCTGCCTCCCAAGTCCCAATCCAACATCTCCAACTACCACAGACACTTAATCCGGCCCTGCTTAAAGCTTAATGTATAAAAATACGTCAGTGTTTTATAACAAAAATTAGACCTGCGAAATCTGTAAAATAAATTACCGCTTAAAGTTCTATTCAAAGAGAATAAAAATTGCGATTATAACTGCAAACAGTTTTAATTATCGATTTCGATAAAAATTGAAGCTGTTTGACAATTTGAAAGTTTTTTCAACAAAGCTCTTATTGAACTAAGGTTCGACTAGTTTTCTTGAAATACTGTTGTGTTTAATTTAACTTCGCTTAATTCAGTCTCAAAAATCATTCTCAAACTTCTCCCCTTCATATGAGTCAATTTGCAAAAGTATTTGTTAATAGGAACGGAAGTTTAAAATCTATTTTTTTTCATAAGCAGGATCCATGTTATTTATATATTGCTTGTAAAAATAGTGTTTTTAACAGACCATAAACAATAAAAACTATTTTATTGTTGTTAGATTTTTTTTTCTATAAACTATGTGTTTAAAGTTTAACTTTAAGTTTGACGTTTCACTTTTTGTTACAGACCCCCGTGAATGGAGTTCTAATGATGTTCTAAGGTGGGTTCAATGGGGTTGTGCAACATTTAAGTTACGAAACCTATGTATAGAACGTTTCCAAATGAACGGGAAAGCGTTGTGCTTAATGGACCTTAGCATGTTTTTGTATCGGGTTCCAGACGGAGGAGAAAGATTGTATCATGACTTCCAAAGTCGACTACAAAGAGCATTATGTCAAGATAAATTCAGGTGACACAAATTTATATAATCTACTCCGAATTTATAAGATATCAAACTTGTTTTCAGCTGTTTGCAAATTGATACATGACTCGTTAAATCAAAAGAAAACTATGAACAATGCATATATGAAATTAAAGTTATTCAAAGCAAACGAAGAATCAAAAATTTTCACACAAGTTTTACGAAGCTTAAGAAAAGAAAAAAAAACACGAAAATATTTTCAAATTTTTTCGTCATTAAATGTTATTTATTTTGTATTTTAAAATGCCTCAAAAATATTGAAAGTTATTTCTGAACACAAAGTATTATTTATGAATGTAATTTATTTCAAAAAGATTTATTTAATAGAATTTGCAATTTTTATTTTATTCTCGAGTTCTTGATGAAAGTTGTTTACTAATTTTACAATTATTAAAAGTTGAGAATTCTGCAGTAGCGTTTTCATGACGTAACTTCAGTAGTTGACGTAACTTTAGTTGTTGACGTAACTTCAGCAGTTGACGTAACTTTCTTAGTTGCAATTTGAATTTTCTTTTTTTTTTTATCAGTAAATATTCTAATAAAAACAAGTTTTTTTGTTTTTTTTATATTTTCAACTACTTTTTTGTTATTGCTAATATTATACGTATTTTATTATAAACTTTAGAGAAATATTTTTTATTATTCTTTTTTTGGTTTTGTATATTCGTTGTGCTGAGGCAGCGAGACATCAATGAATTGAATTATTTATATTTTTCAAAGCATTTTTTTTTTGTACAAATATAAAGGTACTTATCGGGTTTTTTTGGGTAAAATTTTTATAGATTTGTTATTGGTTTATTTGAATTTAAAGAATACTATAATGAGTTTGAACCCCCTGAAGCAATAATTTTGTAAAGAGTTTTTAAACTAAGTTACATACCCTGCTGTTATAGTATCTTAAATAATAGTTTAAAAAACTGAAATCCCCCCGCTATAAGATAATAGTTTAAAGAGTAATATAATTGAACCACGAGTAATTTAAAAAATGAATAATTTATTATCACGGACTTTTTTTTAAGGCTGAAAATATTTGAGTTTATATAAAAAACGTTTTGTAATATACATGCATATATATTTATATATAAGAAGAATTACGAGAAAAGCAGATTAATCCATTGTTGACTTTTTTTTTTTTTGGTGTGTTCCTTTGCTCTTGATTTCAATTTTTTTTCTTTTTATTTGAAACCTGTATAAATTTACTGATTCCACCGTATTAAAACCTTTATTTTAACGAAGTTTTCAAGTTACCAAAAATAAAAAATATCGGTAACTTTGTAATCCTTAAGTGTTTCAACTCGAAAAATTTTAAATATTTAAACTTTGAGCAATTTTAGCATTTTTAGATGTAAAAACTATCTATTGATTGAAAGTGTAAAAAAAAATTAAGATTTAAAAATTTATTCATTTGAAAATAGTTTGAGTTTCATGTTTTGACTGAGAAGAAATGATTTTGAACCAGCTAAGGATATTGCGAAAAGCATTCTCAGATATTTTTTTTTTATATTTAATGGTTTAAAATGTTAAAACCGATACAAAAAAATTTTGGAAATAATAAAAGATTTAAATACCTTGTTTCTTCAATAAGTATTTAACAAAAACTTTTTTTAATTCATTGATTAAAAAACCATTTCAATATATATATTGATTTCACATATTAGATATTAGTTTTGATTTTTATTGGTATACCAATAAAAAACAAAACTATTAACTAATATGCTAAATCGAACCCATTCACAGCAAAATCCGAAATTCTTGTTTTAAGCAAAAAAAGTCTTAAAACAAGAAAAAAAATGACTTGTCCGCCACGTAAGAATATTTTTTCTTGTTTCAAGAATTTTTATTTTTAAAATAAGAATTTTTTTTCTTGTTTTAAGAAGTTTTTTTCCTAAATATTTTTTTTTTCTTGTTTCAAGAATTTTTATTCTTAAAACAAAAATTTTATTTCTTGTTTCAAGAATTTTTATTCTTGTTTCAAGAATTTTTTTCTTGTTTCAAGAATTTTTATTCTTAAAACAAGAATTTTTTTCTTGTTTCAAGAATTTTTATTCTTAATATAAGAATTTTTTTTCTTGCTTTAAGAATTTTTATTCTTAATATAAGAACTTTTTTCTTGTTTTAAGAATTTATATTCTTAAAAGAAGATTTTTTCTTTCTTATTTCAAGAACTTATATTCTTAAAATTATGTATTTTTTTCTTGTTTCAAGAATTTATATTCCTTAAAAAAAATGATTTTGTTTCATCAATCACTTGTTTCATTCAATCACTTGTTTCAATGTTATTTTTATTTAAAATAAGATTCTATTTTTTTGTTTCAATAATATTTCTCCTAAACTATAAAACAATATTACAAAAGTACTTTTTCTATGAAAAAAATAAAACATTATTTTGAAATTAGGATGATATATAATAAGAATATTCAAAAAGCATTTATACATTTAAACAACAAATCTAATCGTTGAAATAACAAATTATTCTTTGAAATGTTTTATCATTGTTCAAGCTTGTAGCGGCAATACTCCTCCCATGTCCATGACAAGTGTATTCCAAAAGGTTCCATCACGAATTCAGAAAATGAAAAACTTCATAAAATAATCTTTTGCCACACATAATAATCACTTCGTCTCCATAGTACCGATGGTTTTCCCTTTAAGTGATTTTTAAATGATCTGAAAGCCTTTTTGTATGTCGTCTGTTACGTACAGATAAGGATTTTTTAAGTCTGAAAATAAATTTTAAAAACTCAAAATTTATATATATATATATATATATATATATATATATATATATATATATATATATATATATATATATATATATATATATCAGAGCCGTAACCACAATTTTAATGTTAGGGGGGCCCATATTACATATTGAGGTCCTTTTTTTTTTTTTTTTTAGGTACCCATTTTAGGGGCATTTTAGGAAGAGGCCCAAACATAGCATGGGAAAAGCCCCCAACTTCAAGAACTATAGCCTATAGTTCTTTTAAAGGAGGGAGGGAATAAAATATTTGTAAAATATATAAGTTTTTACTTAATAATTGTAGTTTAATAACTTTTTGGGGGGAGCCTAGACCCCTGCCCCCCCTCCCCCGTGGTTACGGCTCTGATATATATATATATATATATATATATATATATATATATATATATATATATATATATATATATACACATATATATACAAACATATATATATTTATATATTTATGTGTTTTTAAAAAACCATACAAACTTACAGCTTTTTCTAAAACAATATGTCCAGTTTTAGTCTTTTGAAAGTAATTGCAGCAAGTACTTTATTAAGTGTTTAACTTAAGTATCTAAAAACACATTCCTTATTTAATTATTAATTGATTTCAATACATTATTGTACCTAACTCTAACCCTAAGCAAGCAAAAACATAAAAATGCCTGAGGTTGGCAATTTTTTGCTGACCTCGTTTTCATCTTTTATAGTAAAACCTTTCTAAAAATGGCTTTATGTTTGCCGATTGTAATCTGATGCCAACCTAAAACAATTTAAAGTCGAAAATTTATTACTCACTTTAGTTTTACTAATTTTGAGGATTGTGTATGCATGCATACTTTCCTGTATTTGGGTGGCAGTGGGCGAGGAACTGCCAACTTGTGTATTCCATAATGCAAAGGTGTATCAATGTCTTTATTCTTGCTGAGTCAACTATGACAGAAGATTTTAATACATGAGCAATGTCGCCAACAATCTGAATTAAATAACAATAATAAAAAAAGCATACAACTTTATAAAGCAGAGAAAACTTTTAGAATAACCCATTAGAGGACATGGCAGTTTTGAAAATATCTTCTCACTTAAAAAAGGATTTGTGATTTTGAAACACTATTGCACTTTATCCAATAAATATATGAAATCACAAATGAAAAAAAAAATCTTACTAATAGAACATTAGGGAAACACTGATATTTCTCTAAAAATGCTGCGACTCTATCAACTCTTTCAACTGGAAATTTAATTACCCAGGTTAATAAATTAAAATTCTATACTTAGATCAATTAAAATAAGGATAAAAAATGTAAAAAATAAAATTAATTAATAATACTAAATTTACTAATTGAAAAGGATTGTTTTCTTTACTTACTTTACTTTGCATGTATTTGGAAACTTGCAATTGCTTAAAAGAAAACACAGACATATGTCACATATGTGTATGTATGCAACATACACATGGATATTTAGAAATAGTACTAATACTAATCTTAAGTAAAAACCAATTATATTGTAATAACAATATTAAAACAATTATAACAAGGAAAGCAATGTTAACAATTATATTTTTTTAATATAATAATAACAATAATAATAGTAATAATAATATTGATAAATATTAAATTTAATATTAAACAATAACAATAAGTAATAGTGATATGAATAGAAGTAAAATAATGTTGATATTTATATTACATATAATCATACCAAAAGCAATAATAATAACCCACAAAGAGCGTAACATTTTACGAACAGTAATTACATTTCTCCAAAATAAAAAGATATAAAGATGAGTTTTAGTAGTAAAGTTTAGTGATATAAAGTGAATATAAAAAATAAATTTTTCTATAAAAAATGATAAATTATTTCATGATTTTATACATTGGTTTGTGATGCGATTTGTTATGCTGTACTTAACTGAACAATGATTTAGAATATATAATTTAATATAATTTAAGGTTGCTAAAAGATGGAAGATAATATTGAGAATTTTTTATAGAAGTAAAGAAATTACAGATTGAATGAGGTAGGGTAACTTGTGTGTGATTTCAGACAAATAAACAATTTAATAGATTAACAAGAGCACACAATTTGATAAATTTGGATAGAAAGAAAAGAATATTAGAATTAAAGTGATATTCTTGAAAGTAAATTATTTTAAATGTCTTGTTTTTAGATTAGATATTCATAAAAAATTATTTCATAATTTTTTCATTAATTATAAGGTTCATAAATTATAAGTATATATAACATATCATATTAGAGTGTTTGTAGTATGTTTGAGAAATAAAATTTATACTAAAAGAGATTTTCTTTTTACTATTCAATCTATCTAGAACAACACGGACTATAGACACAACAAAATTTCGGGGCTCCCTCATTAAAAAATTATGTGAATGAATGTGTCCTCATTTATCGAACCCTGAGGGATGAAAGTTTGAGTTGACCTATGACCAGCTACCCAGAAATTAACCCGGGTTGATAGCTTTCAAAATCAGACATCGTGGCCACCAAGAAGATTATCTGAATAAAAATTGTAAAAATATTTTACATTTAGAAAAAAAAATTCTGTCATTAAAAATATTTTATTTCAGAAAAAACACAGTTAAAAAGGCATTGTTTTTCTTTACATGTTTTTAAAATAACACGAAATTTACTTCAAGCACTCTTTTTATCATACTGTAAAATGTAATCAAAAATATTAAAGCTTTGCAATTTAAATAACTTTTTGGAAATAAATGAAGTTTAAAACTTAACTTTTAGTTATTTAGTAGAAATCAATCAAAAAAAAACATTGAAGTTTTTAAAAATATCTCAGAGTAATAATTCAAAGATAATGGCAATAATTTGTTTTAATAAAAAATAACGTTACCATGGAAAATTAAATTCTAGTTCAAACTTTTGAAATGTATAAAAATATTAAATGAGCAATAAATATAATTAAGCAGAATATAATATATTGAAGAATATATAATCCATGAAGAATATATAATCCACAGAATATATAATCCATGGTAATGTTATTTTTTATTAAAACAAGTTAGCCTAACTTGAAAAAGGGGACATGTTATGTGAATTTTTGCAGGACATGTCCTGTTAATTAGAGATTCATATGTAAGTTTTGAATCTCAAGAAACATTTAAGAAAGTATAAAATAAATTTAGAAAGTTAAAACTTACATGTATCCAAATTAGTATATTTTTTTCCTTGATTTTTCATACATAAAATGATTCAGAATCTCTTCAAAATCTAGACTTTTTGTAACTTCGCTTTTAATAGACATTAATGCCACTAATCATCTTCATAATCTTCATTTTCATTGTTTTTTAACTCATTTATGAAGTTCTGAATTTCTGATTCAGCTAATTGGCGACCTTTATAAGTCATAATTTTTATGCTTTTTTAAGTTACCTTTTTGTCGGCCAAGTGTTTCCGGACTGTTGTGGACCATATGTTCATAACTTTAATTCAGAAATGCAACAGAACATAATGTTTATGAGATTTTGTGTAAAACATACTTCAAGATCTGAAGTAAGCCTTTTGGCGCCCTCGCTATAGCGAGAGCCCCAAAAGGCGTACTTCGGAGCGGAAAGATTATATCCAAACAAATCATCTTGAAATCATTTCAGTTCTTTTTTACCTAAAAATTTATTAAATAAAATAAATATTTTTAAATTCTACTGAAAAGTTCTGATGGGCTAAAAAATTATTAAAAGCTGAAAAGGGGCCTTAGGTGCCATGTGGAAGATCAGACCCTGCTTGCACCTTACACTTATATTATTCTGCTACTACGTTGACCATACAAAAGATTTACATTTACGCTGTTTAGATTTATGCAGATTCGCAGTTAGGAATATTGCGTTTATTAAAGGCAAATTCTATAAAATTTTTGTAGTATACAACTCTTTCTGGTTTGTATTTTAGTCTTAATGGCGATCAAATGGATTAGACTATTTGATTACATAAAATCATGAACACAAGGTTTATCTGAAGGTGGGGAGGATTTTCAGAAGGGGAAATTCATTGGCTTTAATTTTCTGAATTCTTTAATTTTTCTTTAATTAAGTATACCTGCAGGTATCTATTGATATATATATATATATATATATATATATATATATATATATATATATATATATATATATATATATATATATATATATATATATATATAAACATTCTTTGTATATAATATGTATACATATTTAAATATATATACATATTACAAGCCTTCCCAGGAAAAGCGTGCGGTTTTTTTTCTCGTATGACCACACGCGATTACACTATTTTAGAAAACGTCAGCACAGCCGTTTGCAAATTTTATAATAATGCTGAAAAAGTTTTAAAAACAAAAAAAACATGACCAACAAAATAAAAAGAAATTGAAATAGAAAAAAATAAAAACAAATTAATCATTTAAATAATTTGTGTACTGCATTACAAAAGTAACAACACTATAATAGTGTTATTATTTTTATAACACACTTATAAATTTTAAAATTCATTCTTTGTTCAAGCAACATTAGTATTCCCAAATTTTAATTGAAGTAAAAAATATATAAAAAAACAAAGTAGATGTTCAAATAATATTAAAACTAAAGTAACTTATAAAAACGTGACAAACAACCTTATGAAAATGTATTGTATTAAAAGTTTAGCATTATGAAAAACGTTAATAATGGATTGTAAAAACGCGCGTTAATTTTAAATTTTTTTTTTGTAACTTTCTCGCTAGCAAACTTTTAATAACTTGCTCCTTATAAACAAAGTACACAGCTTTGCATGAACTAAAATTTTAAAGACCTAATATTTTACCAGAGATTACAAATCGCGATCGTATAATTTAACTCTTGATATAAACTTGTTACATTATAATTATACAATTATATTTTACAAACAAATGACGATACCTATTTTCTCTTTCCTCTTTAAAAGAAAAAACGCATAAAATATCGGAAAGTCATCCTTTTTAACGCCTAAAAGTTTTGTTTTTTTTTGCTTTGACTTTATGAATTTTGTTGCCGATAATAATAACCACTAAGAAAAAACAAAAATAAAAACAACACACAAATTATTTAAATTATTATTATTGTTTTCTATTTAAGTTCACTTTTATTTCTTAAGTAGTTATTAAATTTAAAACAATTTTTCAGCAACGCATACAATAAAACTTGCGCAAACGGTTGTGATCACGTTCTCTAACTTGAAAAACGTTTTTGTGGTCGTACGAGACAAAAAACCGGACGCCTTTCCTAGGAAAGACATGCGGTTTTTCGTCAAAATGATCAAGGCGTTTTTGTTGCCAGGCTCCAATTATTGCAATTTTACAAAGCATCTTTATTTGACATAAGTATAAACATATAACTGTTTGGAGTTAGAGTCATGTCTGGAAGTTAGATATCTTGAAGACCAAAACATGCTGGATCCGCCCATGACTTATAAGACCATTCGATAAAAACCATAAAAACATTAATAAAAAATATTTGATTGATTAAGGAACTTACATTTTAAAGTTACTAAAAACATAGCGAAAAAAATAAATTTTATCTAAATATATTTATTGAAAAAACTGTTACACAACTGAAATTAAATAAACAAAATACAGTATATCTAAAATTGTAAATCTTTCCTTCCTGATTTTAAAAAATTCGCTAACTCTGTAATCACCTCTTTTGATTCCTAATATAGAGGGATTATGCAAACTTCTTTGCTTGTAGAGTTGCGTAAATAAATTGACAGAAAGCGTCATGAACAACACAAGTGTGGCAATGGCATCTGAAAAACTTACAGATAATTACAGCATATTTAATTAATAGCTATGTGAATTTTTTCATGTTTTTTATTTTAACAATTTTCTTTCTTAGCATAGCAGATACCATTACAGTTTGTAGTGGAAATTCTTTTGCAAGGTAATCTTTATTCTTTAATTGAAGTGCTTTCGTTGTTTTTATAATTGCTTCCATTTCTATTAATTTTGTTAGTAGCATGAAAGCAAATAAATTTGAAACTTCCTGCACCCATTTAAATCTGTTATCTATTTGAATTGTATCTTCATTTAAAACTTTGATAAATATATTTATACAAATGATGTGATCATTATTACCAACACAATAAAAGCTCGATAGTTCATCAAAATATTTTTGAACAATTTTTTGTCCAAGAAAAAGTTAAATTAATATCCACAATTTGAATAACTTCGTCTTTTGCTGATTAGTACATATATCTGAACTGTTTTAAGTCATTGCTTGCAATGATTCAAGCATTGCATTGCAATGATTGCAATGAAAGTTTGCAATTATTGCAATGAAAAATTGCAATTATTTGGTCGCAATTATGAGATCTAAATTTTTTGTTTAAAACAATTTTGATAGTAAATTTACTTCATTCAAAATGTTTGATTATATTACGCATAGAAATACAAAGTATCATTAAAAAATCAGAAAAAGAAATACACATCTTCATGTTTTTCTTTTTCTGATTTTTTAATGATACTTCAGTGAGCGATTTCATTATATCCACAAAGCGAAGTCTAACTGCCGAAAATGAAGTGGACTTTCCAGCCCAGCAAGTTGGATTCAATGTTTTATATGTAATTTTAGACTCATTAAAAAATTGTGATCGGTCCACCTATTTGCACTATTGCTAAACATCAATACTTTCTAGAGTTGCAAAAAAATGTCGAAACTTTGTAGAAACCTTTCACAGCGTCATTTACAGCTAGATTTAAGTTATGAGATTCACAATCTAGGATTATAGCTTTAGATTCACCTAGTTTAATAAGGGAATAAACACCATTGTAAGCCCCACGCATAACATTAGCTCCATCTTAAGCTTGTCCTCTACATTTATTTGATATTTTCTGATTCTTTTCAAGCTTTGGCCCTTTCTAATTTTTAGTCTTACAACAACGCCACCGTTGCTACTATAAACGTTAGAAAAAAATATTCAGTCCCACAGAATTTGGTTAATTTTTATTTTTCTGCAAAATCGACATATTTCTAAAATTAGAATGTTTTACTATGGTACTGTTTTTAGCGATATATTTGCTTAAACTAATCTTATTGATATCAATATAGGTATCAACTAATAAACCCTCTCATATATGTAGTTTTACATTTTTTGAGATCAAATTTACTTTACTTTTAAAAATGTTTTTATTGGTATAAAAGTTTTTTACAAAAATAAGTTTTGTTCAAATGTGCATATTTTGGAGGAGTGAAAAAAGACACATTTGTTTTAAATGTTTAAAAAAGTCCTGACGTATAAACAAAAGTTAGTTGTTGTTTCAGATCATATCTTTTACCCTAAATAATGTTAATTTCTGTAGTTTAAATAACAACAAATATAAAAAACAACAATATAACAGCAAATATAACAAGAAATGAACAATGTTATATTTCTTTATCCCCTTCCATATTATAGAGGTGTGGTAGTTGTGCATTCGAAGGAGCATTTTGATTACAACTAATAGTTCAATAAACAGATTATGTTCAGTTACTACTTAAAGATTATCACTCACTTGTGTAAAATATTTAATCTGCTTCAGGCTCCTTGCCACGCCTAGTGTATGGCTTCAACTGGTGCGTATCGTTTTTCAGCAGATCACAAGAATCTGGGTTCTGCAAAAGTGTTTTCCCTTCCGCCCATAGAGAAATCTGGAAAGTCCAATTCATATTTACAATATTATTGGCTTAGGTGATACTCTATGCCCAATTTCAACCAGTCACATCTTAAACAAATCTTCTTGATAATTTTGAATATTTGTACCCCATCTTTAGTTGCGTTGATGATCTTTTCCTTCAAGACATCGAATGAAATGTTAAGTTCAACACAACCAATTTTGATTTAGGGTTGAGAAGATGTTTGAATGGGGCCATAATTTCTTAAAGTTGGGCCTAATATGGTACATGGTTTACTAACCGAACCAAGATAAGTTGTCTGTTATTGAAAATGGTGTTAAAAATAATTTGATTGCGTCAGTATACTTAGGTAGTGGTTCAATTCCATTTTGAAATATTTTAAAACCTGCATAGTCCACTGTTTTCCAAGAAAATTGGAACTTTTGTGGATTTAAAATGATTCCAGCTTTAGCAACAAGCTCGAGGAGTTCAATTGTTTGCCACTGATGTTTGACTATTTCATCATTGTATTGGAGGGTGTTTTCAATTAAAGTCAGCTACAATTATTTCAAAACGTTTGTTGTACCGTTACCCGTTTTAGACTAAATTTTGAGGATTTCAAATGTATCTATAGCGTCCAAAAGATGTAATAAAGGTGGTAAGATCTGACATCATATTGTAAGTTCTGCTAAAGGTACCTTTTCAATAACTTCCAGAGATTTACCACAAAATTAATCCTTCTTCACCTGGTCTTGTAAATAGATTGGTATGGTGGTTGGAGTTAATGCTCCAACTGGGGAGTACTAACTCATATTTAATAAACACTAATTGTGGGCTCCTCCATGTCAGATGGAATCTGGTGTGGGCATGCATCAAATGTTGAAGCAGAGTATCTTTCGTAAATAGATTGGTATGGTGGTTGGAGTTAATGCTCCAACTGGGGAGCACTAACTCATATTTAATAAACACTAATTGTGGGCTCCTCCATGTCAGATGGAATCTGGTGTGGGCATGCATCAAATGTTGAAGCAGAGTATCTTTCAAGAAGCCAAATTGTTTCATCAGTTCGTCGTTTTCAGGAGAGCAATCAAATGGAAGTTTGGTGGATGCACTTGGTAGGATACATATTTTGGGACAACTGCACACATATATGGCATTATTTTCATGGATGTTTTGGTCCTTTTAGTCTGGGAGACTGAGTTAATAACTCCATGGAAAGTACTGTTAACCTCTGGAAGACCTTTAGAGATAATACCCAGTACAAACGGATTCTACGGATCTCTATCTAAAGAGACAATAACTCAATAATGTCTCTTTAGATAAGTAGAATCCGTTTGTATCTGGACTTATGTAAACCATAAGCAAAACTATGCACCGGTATCTGTAATAACTTATAATACTTTATAATACTTTGGCATCATGGGAGGAAATGGGATATCAATTGCACCGCAGTCTGATTTGTTTGAAGTCATTAATGAATTTTATGGTGAACAAATAATTGAGCTGTGAACTATCCATCATGGGTAAATATTTGATGGTTTATTTCCACGACAGATGGACGAGTCCGATGGCTTCAGGATAATAAAATTTGCCCATTCTACTTCTGAGTAATCCTGACCGATGCAGGGACGATTTACTTTCGCTGTCTTGTGCTTTGAGAAGACTGAATGAATGTCAGTCTAGTTTTGAAGAAGGTAAGGTTGGCTATTGAATAGTAAAATTGCAATTGCTTTGCTGGGACCTTCGATGATGACTTTGCATCCTAATACCTGGCAAGGTAAGCTTATTGTGGACATACTGCGAAAAAGGAAGAATTTAGCAAAATTCTACCTTTTGTGCATACATTAACAATTTCAAACAAAATAATATTATTATTATAGTTGCAGCAGTATTTATACAATATATACATTAGGGTGTGTCGATTTTCACTTTTTTTGGAAATTTTATTATAGCTAGTTTTTTTTTTTATGTTAACTCAGTGTGAAAAATATGAAAATAATTTTTTTTTTTTAAAAAAACAAATTTTAAGCTGCTTTTTTTTACCTTGAAACTTTTTTTTTTGTTGACTCTTTTCTTTTTCTTTCTTTTTTCTTTTTATTTCTTTGTCGACTTTTGTTTTTCTTTTTTAACTTATAAAAATAACTTTTTTTGTAATCTCCGAAGAAGTTCGCAGTTATTTACCAAATCATCTAAATAACAAAATTTTTTAATCGTATGCAAAAAAGGATATTTCAAAATTTAGTTTAACGAACATGATAATTTAAAACATTGACTCTCCTATCCTTTTCACAAAAATCTTTTGTTTTATATATATATATATATATATATATATATATATATATATATATATATATATATATATATATATATATATATATATATATGTATATATATGTATATATATATATATATATATATATATATATATATATATATATATATATATATATATATATATATATATATATATATATATATATATATATATTAATGAATATAACTATATATACACTTAAAAAATTCGCCGTAGAATCTACGGAGATTGTGACAGCACTTTCTCCGTAAAATTTACGGTTTCCGTATTTCATTTTTTCATGCAAATTAACAGGAAAACTCCGTCAATTCAGCAAATAGACATTTACTTAACTCATTTATCAGAGTTTACGCTAAAGTCAACAATAAATTAATAGAGTTTATATGTTGTAATAAAAATGTAATTCGACTATTAAGAAACTACTGGTATTATAATATGATACACATCAAGTAATAATAGCTATAATAATTATAAACAAATTATATTATATTATAGCGGTTATTATATATATATTGTATTTTATATACTATATAATATATATGATAACAAATAATATTTTATTATGAAAAATTATACTATATTATAAAAGTTGTTACATATATTACGTTATAATAGTTATAATAAACATAAACAAAACATTTTTTGATCTATTGATGCTCTTGTCCACTCAAGCGCTAGTTCGTTTACAAAACTCGAAACTTTAAGGTGAGGTCCGACTGCTTTTTTACCAGATTTTCTTTTCAATTTAATTTCATTTTTCATGATTCATTTTTGCAATACATCTAAATAATAATAATTAGGTCAGAATAATAAATCATTATTTACAGTAAAAAAAAAAAAAAAAAAGAAAAGAAAGTAATGTTGAAAATTTGTATGTAGAGTGAGCATGTAAAGAAGAAAGTATAGGTCAGAAGTAGATAAAGTTAAAGAATACATTGCAGGTAATATGAAAAAGCTATGGATTTTTATAGATTTTTTATAAACAAGTATGAAAATATATCATCACAAATGACCCTTATACTTTGTACTTTTGTGTTTTTTGTGGCAAAAGAGGAGCATTCTTGTGAAGTAAACTGATGATTTCAGCCGGCAGCTTTTCCAGGGAACTTTGAAAATATCTATGTAATCGCCTAGCATAGCAATGGAAGATTTAGATGCAAGTACATTTAAAATTCAAGGTTGGGTTAAAACTGAAACTAAGGCATGAACCTAAAAAAAAATTTCAATAGTACTATTTCATTTTAGTCACAGTCAAATTTAATCAATGTATCTAAATTTAATAAGTAATTAAATAATAATTTAACAATTTTTAACATCAAAATTTTGATTTTATAGACAACTTTGTCAAAAACTACAATTTTAAATAATTTAAATATAGATTTTTTTTAGGCTGCACTACAAAAAAGTAAATATAAAAATCTATTTTATTTAATATATACCTTCTTTCGATGCGTTTATCCTCCATATGGTTTATCCTCCTCCAAAAAACTGCCTTATATAGAGGCTGCATACCTAGGCCCATAAAAACCAGTTCAGCTCATTAAGTAGCATCATAACCCCTTTGCAGACCAAAGGTAAGTGATTTTTAGAATTATGAAGGATGTTAGAGAGAAAGTTAGAAGAAGTCCAGTTAGAAGGTTGGTATAGTGACAGAGGACAGTATTACACTTGGTGTTAGAATGTGCAATTTATGTTTAATATCAAGTTCACTTGATAGGAACCCATGTTATGGATAAAGTTTTACATAATTTACGTAAATTTGATTATATATATATATATATATATATATATATATATATATATATATATATATTATCCTTTTTTTCAAAATGGAAGCTGTAGAAAATGCTTGAACTACAGACCAGTTTCTCTCAAATTGATACTCTGTAAAATAATGGAAAGTTTTATACACAAAAGAATCCTGAAACATTTTCTTAAAAAAGGGCTCTTTACAAAATCTCAACATGGATTTCTTCCAAGACGCGTTTGTACAACCAACCTACTAGAGGCACAGGACATTTTAACAAAAGCACTATTTCATAATCATGCCATAGATGTGATTTACACAGACTTTGCTAAAGCTTTTGATAAAGTAGCTCACCAACTTCTTGTTTTAAAACTTGATGTGTATGGCATACATGGAACACTACTGGAATGGATATCTCACTGGTTAAAAAATTGAAAACAGAGATTGGTCATCAGCAATAGCAAGTCTGAATGGGTAGATGTTGCTAGTGGTGTTCCACAAAGTTCAGTGTTAGGTCCACTTTTGTTTCTGATTTATATAAACGACCTTCCAGACAACATGGTGCATCACATAAAGATCTACACAGATGATTGTAAGATTTTAGGGGTAATCAAAGCAGAAGATAATGCAATAAAACTACAACAAGACATATATCATACAGTCAAATGGTCTAAAAAGTGGCTCATGTATTTCAATCTAGACAAATGAAAGTCATGTATGTTGGGCACTCAAATAAATCAGTACGTCTTTACTCAATGCTTGACATATATGGTAATCAAATAAAACTTGGAACAACAATTATTGAACATGATTTAGGTGTTCTAACATCAAACAACCTCAAAGTTAAGCATCAAGTAGAAGCTGCAGCAGCTAGAGCAAACCAAATACTTGGCAAACTAAAAAAATCTTTCGCACAAGAGAGCTGGTGTTATGGAGGGTACTCTACACAACATACATTAGACCTCATCTTGAGTATGCTATCCAAGCCTGGTCTCCTCACCTAAAAAGTGACATAAAAGCACTTGAATACAGCGAGTAACAAAGGTGATAAGTGAGATTATCACTTTTGTTATTACTTTGCTTTTAGTTGTTCTGTTTATTAAATATTTTTCTTCAATTTATATTCTTTAAAAATTTTCATTGTTTTCATTTTATTAGTTTTTTGTAAATCTTTTATTCTAAAATCTAAACAATTTTTCTATTTTCTTTCTTTTTTCTTTGTTCTATTTATTAGATTTTCAACATTAAAAAAATATCTCCTTCATTTGGGATGTCTTTGTCACACACATATATATATATATATATATATATATATATATATATATATATATATATATATATATATATATATATATATATATATATATATATATATATATATATCTGTCAATTGCAAATTCAATAGAATGCCTAAATAAAATTGTAAATAAAACTTGACTTATTACAAATAAGTCAAGTTTTATTTACAATTTTATTTAGATATTATTGATAGTTTTGAAATTTTTAAAGTTCATACTATTCAGTATTACGTTTTTATAATATATAAAAGAAACATTAAAAAATATGAATTATATTTACTAATAAGTTATTAGTAAATTATGTTTTATTTATTTACAATGCTATAAAATCCTTTTCTTATAAACTGAATTTTCTATAACTCATATTGTTTAGTTTTTCTTTTACATATTACAAAAACATAACACTAAATAGTATAAAATTTAAAAAATTCAATACATAAGAAAAGATTTTTATGCCATATAAACCCTGTATAATATAGGAAACTAATTTTCAGAAGTACCTATCTTTAATAAATATCTATAACTATTTATTTAACAGCATCCATAATCAGCACATAAATTACAAAAAAAATTTTTTGAATTTGTTTCTTAAAAAACATGCATAATTTAGTTCCAGTAAAACAAATATAAATATATTAAAATCTCTAACTTGAAATTAAAAACTTGTATAACTTTTCTCTTTGTTAAAAAGAACTATGGCGCTCTGTGAAGGCTATACTAAAATAAGCTATAACATACGGTTAAAGTCCGTAATTTAAAGTTACGGAACTTCTCCATATCATAAATACAATCATAGTCATAAGAAATATATAGTCTGGAAGCAAACAATAGCGCTTTGTTTATGTTTTTGTTCCAGAAATTACTCGTTCTCATTCTTCCGAAGGTGCACAGTAAACAAAAACATCTCATAGCGAAAGTATCGATCTCCTTTTCTTCTTGTTACTTTTACATTAAATTTAAACAACTGTAATTTATTTTAATGAATTGATTACAATTTTCTTTATTATTGTTCTTGCAAGCTTGGCAATTTTCTTTATCTTTGTTCTTGCAAGCTTGGCATTGTTAAAAAAAGAAGATTTATTCAAAATTATGCAAAATTACATTGTCCCATGTCAATAAGACGTTGTCTAATAATTCTAAAAAAGTCTATGATATAAGTTTTCTTCAGCCTAAAAAATGACTTTAAAATAACTATGAAAATTAAAGACGAAAAAAAAATATACACATACATAAATATATAGATATATAAATATTTACATACATATATATATATATATATATATATATATATATATATATATATATATATATATATATATATATATATATATATATATATATATATATATATATATATATATAGATATATATATAGATATATATATATAGATATATATATATATATATATATATATATATATATATATACATATATATATATATATGTATATATATATATATATATATATATATATATATATATATATATATAATATATATAAAATATATCAAAATCCCATAAAAAGATGTGATTATTTCAAAATACGGAAAACATCCGTAATGGATGTTTTCCGTAACAAAACAACGGAAAAAGTCTGATAAGTACTACGGAGTTTTTTTACAGTGTATTAACTACATATATATAAATAAAAAATATATATATCTGTATAACTATATATATATATAAATATATAAACTAAATATATTATAAACACATAAATTATATATATATATATATATATATATATATTATATATATAATTTATATATTATATATTATATTTTATATATATAAATATACATAATTTATATATTATAATATTATATATATATATATATATATATATATATATATATATATATATATATATATATATATATATATATAAATTAGATATATATATATATAGATATATATATAAATTACTATAAATATATAAATATATAAACTATAAATATATACTATATATATATATCTATATATATAGATATATATAAGTTACTATAAATATATAAATATATAAACTATAAATATATAAACTATAAATATATAAACTATATATATATATATATATATATATATATATATATATATATATATATATATATATATATATATATATATATATATAAACAAGCTCATTAACTTAACGGGAAAAGATTAATTGTTTGGCGTAAAAATAAAACAACAAAATTTTAGAGCGTTCTGTATATATACAATCACTTCATAAAAAATAAGTACAACAAAATAAAAATAAAATATACATACATATATCACTTTGTAGTATATATAATAAAGTTTAATAATTTTTTTTTTTTTTTTTTTTTCTCTGTTTACATAACATAAGAATTTTACAAATTCCACTACATAATATAAAATTTAACAAAACAATTAAAACAGATAGGCGATAAATATTTCCATAATATAAATATTATTGTCAAATTTTGATAATACGGGAGAAAAAAAGATTTTTCAGCTTAACTTTAAAAAGATGCAAAGAAGTAGGTAGATCAAAATTAAAATTAGGCAAAACAATTTTGTTCCAAAAATGGGGTGCACGATAATCAATGCAAAATTGGTTAAAACTTGTTCGACAAAAAGGCTCATATAGAAGGTTGTTATTTCTTAGAGAGTATTTATTGGTAGGTTTTAAAGTAATTAAATCATTAAAAACGGCAGGAGAAAGATTGTTTTTACATATATATACAAAGCATAAAATATTAAAAATATTAAGTTCGTAAATATTAAGTATTCTCATTTCAGAAAAAAGATGTTTAGAGTGAGAAAAACGATCAGCAAAATTAATTACACGTATTGCATGTTTCTGACGGCGATAGAGAGATTGTAACTTACTTTTTTCAGTGCTTGCCCAAGCAATATTTGCATAATTCATATAGCAATGAATGAATGCATAATAAAGTTGGGATAAAACTTTTTTATTTATATAGATTCTGGCCTTATAAAGAATTCCAATATTTTTTGAAACTTTAGTACCAACATAATCAATATGTTGCTTCCATGTGATGTTCTCATCAAGGAATACGCCTAAAAATTTTGTGGTGCAATCTCTTTTTATTTCAATATGGTCAATAAAAATATCAGGTAGAGTTGGGGGTAAATAACGTTTTTTAGTTATCGAATGAAAAAGAATCCATTTTGTTTTTTTAATATTTAGGGTAAGTTTATTGCATTTGAACCAGGTAGAAATTATTTTGAGTTCTTCATTCATAGTAGTGAAGAGTTTATTAATATTGTTATCAGATAAAAATAAATTAGTATCGTCCGCAAACATAATACTAAAAAGATTATAAGCTTTATGCAAGTCATTAATGTATATTAAAAAAAGAAGTGGCCCTAAAATTGATCCTTGCGGAACACCACATGAAATATCTAAAACATTTTTTTGATAAGTATCGTTAAAAGAAACGAATTGTTTTCGGTTTGTTAAATAACTTTTAAACCACTTTAAAATTACACCATGCACTCCATAATATTTAAGTTTATGAATCAAAATGCCATGATTTACTGTATCAAATGCTTTTGATAAATCCAAAAAAATACCTAAAGTGAATTGGAAATTTTTGAAAGAGTTGGAGATTTCACGGACGAATTGAATGATTGCATGCTCAGTAGAACTATTTTTTTTAAAGCCAAACTGATTTTTATAAAAAAAATTCTTCTCTTTAAAATAAGTATATAATCTATTGTAAATAATTTTTTCTAAGATTTTTGAAAATGTTGATAAAATAGAAATAGGTCAGTAGTTACATATATTAGTTTTGTCTCCTTCTTTGTATATTGGGATTATCTTAGCTATTTTTAACTTATCAGGAAAAACTCCTTGTTGTATTGACGCTCTGAAAACTTTAAAGAGAATATCTTTTAATTGTTCAAAGTATTCTAAGACTATGTTTCCATTTATTTCATCAGCTCCAGGGGTTATGTTTTTTTAAATAGATTTAAACGACACTTGAAACTCCTCAAATGATAGCTCAGAAGATAAATTATTTGAACAAATGCAATCATCCATCGGTGTTAAAAAGTTATTGAACACAACTTGGGTATTAGGAATTTTATTTGCTAGTTTCGAACCGATATCAATAAAGAATTTGTTAAACTCATGAGCTATTAATCTAGGTTCAAAAATATCTTTGTTATTCACTCTAATCACCTGCGGTAGGGAACCTGAGCAAGTTTTTTGTTTTCCACCAATTTCTCCTAATATTTTCCAAGTACGTTTAGAGTCGTTCTTAACATTTTCAATTAATTTCGAGTAGTAATTCTTTTTTAAATTTTTACGTATTTTTTCAAATAGATGTTTGTAATCTTTGTATAATTTTTCGTTTAAAGTTGTTTTTGTTTTTAAGTAATTTATATATAGCCTTATTTAAAGATGGTGACCATGTGACAAGGAATTAATAAATTTTGGTTGATATTATTTATTGATAATATTGTATATATTATTGGTTGATATTATTAATTACATTAAATCGATGTATTAGTTTAAAGAATTGTATAAGATGAAGCGCCGAAACTCAGGTAATTTTAGATTTAGTCTTTTTAGTCTTTCGTAGTATTGAAGCTTTCTCAAGCTTAAATCCCATTTTGTTGCTTAACGCTGAACAGATCCAACCAAAGCTACGTCAGTTTTTAAATATAGGGCCCAAACAGACACTGCATATTCAAGGTGTAGTCTCATAAACAATTTATATAATTTGAGAGCCATTTTTTCATCAATGATGGTAAATGTCTTTTTTAGCATTCCTTGAGATTAGATGTAAAAATGACTCTTAAATTACGCTCTTTAATAGAGCTTCTTAGACTTTCATTTATACCTTGGTTATTTTGCAAAAAGTAACTGTACATAGAATTGGTTTTGCCATAATGGATAAAACAGCATTTTGAAATATTTAATTTAAGTAACTAAGTGTTTGACCACTACTAAGCGTAGACGATTCTGCTGATCAACAAAATCTGCGATAACGTTTTAGAAAAAAAGTTTCGTATCGTCGGCAAATATTTTAGAAGTTTCAGTAAGTTAGGCAAGATCGTTTTTAAAAAGAATAAAGAAGAACGGGCTGAGAATAGAACCTTAAGGAACACCACTAAGAACATCATCCCAGACAGATTTTGCACGCAACCGAGGTTAGTGAAATAGGTCGATAGTTTTCAGGAAGTAGTTTGTCTCCTTTTTTATAGATCGGACTAATATTTTTTGATTTTCAGAGAGTTGGTACTATTCTAGAATTAAAAGATTCATAGAAAATTTTTGTAAGCGGAATTGTGAAGCTTTTAGCACATATCTTAAGTATTAAAGGGTGCGAGCCGTCAGGTCCGAAAGATTTGTAAGGTTTTAGATCGGTAAGTTCATTAACAATGTCTGCAATAGAGAAATCCAAATTGTTACTATAATTGCATTTAGGTTTAACATCACTTTTATTTAACAATGGAAAATTTTCTGAGCTTTCTAGAGTAAACATAGATTTGAATTGAGAGTTCAGAAGTTCAAGTATTTCGGGAAGAGTTTCAGTGATTGCCCCTGAAGCATTTTTTAGAGAACGCATTTTATCTTTAATTTTTAGTTGGTTTTTAATGTATTTGTAGACGAGTTTCGGGTTGTTCTGAGATTTTGATGTTATTTCTTGATTAACATCGTGAGAGTTAAATTAGTCAGCAATGTAGTTAGCTACACCGCCGCCTCGACATCCGTCACAGCGATCTTTGCAATATAAAGTGTTTCTTTAAAATTCCATCGGATACATGAATAACATAAACTAAAGTTAGTTGTTGTTCCAGATTATATCATAAACTTATCTTCAACAATGTTAAACTTCATAAATGAAATAACAATAACTATAAACAACAAAATATAACAACAAATATAACAAAAATGAAAAATGTTATATTTCTTCAACATATATCTGGCATGTTTGATATACAGGCTGATATAAAAAAAGTCTCATGTCTAGTGCAAGACTTGAAATTCAACAACCGTTATTGTTGAAGAATACTAAAGAGAGTTAAATATATTTTAAAGTTTCGAACAATGACCAGTAGAAATTTTTAATGATGTGATGAAAAATGTTGTTTTTCTTTGACGTCGCTATGCAAACTTGTTGGTTGGAAACAATAAAAATTATAGCGTAACGAATTTTGCAATGGCCAAGTTTGTTGTTGCAGGCAAATCCAATTGTCCGTTTTATGCCCGAGCAGAACATATTGGTGACACTTTAATGTTACGATTGCCAGATTTCTCAATTCATAAAATTGTTTTAAATCCTGAGGACTGGGACACGTGGGTAGAAAAAAAGTGTATTGAAAGTGGATGGGAACTAAATGCAAAAGTATATAGTTCTCCAATAATATGGAGAGAATTAGTTAACAGGGGTGGAAAAGCAGTTTTTATTGGAGGTTGCGATGAATTTTTAGAAATAAGCAAAATATACTATGGTGTTGAATGCACGAAACTTACAAATGAGCTAATAAGTATTTCAGATGAAAATGCAGAGACACAGATATCTTCAAAGAAAGTACTCCAAGAAGAAAACAAAAATTTGTCAGATATAATCTTATTTAAATTAGTTATTGTATTTAGCAGCTCTATGAAAGATTTTATTTGTAGCTTGATATCAAAATTACTTTCTTCTCCATTTGATACTCACAAAAAAATGGATTTAGTAATTTGTTCAGGGGATGTAGAATTAAATGATACTTTATTAATGGAATTGCAAGATTGTGTGTTTCCTTCACTGCATTGTGCCAAAACTGAAGTTGATCTGCAAACTGCAATTATAAATTCAGATTACATTATTATATTTTCACCTGACAAACTGGAAAAGCTTGAACTGAATATTTTAAAAAGTTATGCCATTGCATTAAACTTTTCTGCTAAAAATACAACTAAAATACTTATTGCAGGAACTAGTGCAATGCAATCATGTTTTGTTGTTTCACATTTTGCTGATAAAGTTTCAAAAAAAAATTTTTATGCGTTATCTCGTTATGAAGAGAATAAAATAAAATCTGCTGTAGCAAAACAAATTGGTGTTAACTCATCAAATGTAAATGAAATTTTTATTTGGGGATATGAACATCAATTTGTTATTGACTTGACAAAAGCTAAAGTAAATGGGTATGATGGTGCAATATGGGCACCACATTTGGCAGACTTTACTTATTCTGTTGAAAAAATAATTTATGATAAAAACTGGTGTGAAGAGGCTGCATCAATTTATGTAAATTCTGCATCACAAAAAGTAGGAGTTCTTTCCTTTTCTGCAGCTTTAGCAACACAAATCAAAGATATAGTTAATCCAATGTGTAAAAAAATGTTTTCTTTGGGAATTGTATCACAGGGATTCTATGGAATTCCAGAAAATCTTGTTTTTTCTGTTCCAGTATTAAATAATGATGGCTGTATAACCGTGATCGAAAATTTTGAATGCAACAAGAGTATAGAGAGCAAAATTCAATCATCAGCTATGATTTTTAAAAACCACTGTGATAGTCTTATTAGTATTGCTAACACATAATAGTATATATTTAAGTTTTAAGCTATAATTATGTATTTACAATCTAATAAAAGTCCAAGTCTATAAAAGTTTTAAAAATAACTCTATATTTAGGTTCAAATAAAAGTTTAAATCTATAAAAGTTTTAAAAAGAACATTGACAATATAGACAATATAAAAAACCCTTTGGTTGTTAATTTAATGCGTTGTTTAGAGTTATTATGCGTTGTTTAAAGTTATTATAAAAATGTTAATTTTTTTAAGTTATTAAAAGAAATCATGTAACGTCAGTGAAGCAATTATAGACAATTATATTTTGTAATGAAACCCTGATCCAAACTTTCCATAATATAGATTTCAGTTAGCTATTTATATTTTTATACTTAGTTTTGCTATTTACTATTTTTAAAGTGAAATTTTTTGTTTACTTTGCAGGTTTTTCTGGGTGTTTTTTTCCAAAATTAATCTTTTTTTTTTTTTTTTTGTTAACTTGACTATTAATAAATTTATTTTAAAAATTAGAAACTATCTGTTATTTAAATTCTCAAAGATAAATGAATATTTTATATGAAAAAAGTTTTCAAAAAATCTTTCAATATAATTTTCTAATTTGTGAGTATACTCAAATTGGTCTTTGCAGTAAATACAAATTTTTAATTTGAAATAGACAACTAATAAATAATATACAATCTTATATTATTGTTAAAGAAAAAATAGATATTTAAGTTTTTAATTTCATGAGGTTTATTGCAAGGAAATAAGGATATAACTATTTATACATACCATTTTTATTTTTATTTTTGGTCATTATTGACTTAAATATAGGGAACATGCAGGGAGTTTACATACATTGGTGAGAAAAGGTTAGGGTTGCTATTAAGATTGCCTGCCCTAAATCAAACCCTGAGTCAATCTATGTACACTTTTTGCATGGTCTCCCTATTTAAGCTAGCCAAAGTGTTTTAAAATATATATATATATTTTTTCAACTTAGAATTTTTTTTTTAATTGGTTGAAATATATTTGCTAAATATTGTGATATTCCATAACTTAGTGTCCCGATTGTTGAAACTACTAGTTGCATACGGTATACTTTTCTGGCTTATGCGGTTTAATTACACCATACCTACGTGATAGTATTGGGTCGCTAGGCCTGTAGACTTTCATTTTCTTGTTTTCAAAATTGTCCATTCTTATTTAACTTTGATAAATGAGTTCTAGTTTTTTTTTTTGCAAATTTAGGAGTAAGGTCCTCATTTTTTTACTTTGTTGTGTTTAATTTTAACGAAGCCCGAAATAGTGGATATCAATTTTTTTGTTATTTTTTTATTTATTTTAATGCTTGTGTGTGGATTTAAATTGCTATTTTTAGCGGATTAAACAATTTTAGTTGTTTTAACATATTATTGCATAAGTTTGGTATTTTATTCGCAGCTCTAGCTTAAATGCAGAAGATTCTATTACTGATGTCTAATTAGGGTAGATTTTTTAGTTGTTACAAATTTGGGTACAAATTTTAAAAAGACTTCTGTGGTTCTCTGCTATTTTAACTGCACATAGGTTCAAAACAACATCTTTTAAAAATGAAGGGGTCTTAGCTTTTTCTTTTGGATTTGAAATTTGCAATATTTAAAATTTTTTAATGAAAAATCATAATTGATCATTTTAATTTATTTGTCTTTTTTCAATTTTATCTGTTTTTTTTTTTGTTTTTTTTTTTTGTTTTTTTTTTTATGTTGATTTTAGGTGCCCCAAGAAGTCCTTATGGTCTTATCACAGAGCACATATATATATATATATATATATATATATATATATATATATATATATATATATATATATATATATATATATATATATATATATATATATATATATATATATATATATATATATATATATATATATATGTATATATATATATATATATATATATATATATATATATATATATATATATATATATATATATATATATATATATATATATATATATATATATATATGGTATGTATGTATAAGTAGTCAATTGTGTATACATACAGTATGTATAAATAGTCACATCCAAAAACTAATATAGCAGTTTGATTATGGAACATAATAAGATACTATATGTAAGTATTTGCTTATATTGTATTATAAATAATGATTTGAAATTATTTTTAAAGTTATTTATTTTTTGATTTACTAAATTTTATTAGAATTATTTTAGAATTTTTTTGTTTTTGTTGCTTGTTTATTTTGATTGATATTGGTTATTTAATGTTTTATATAAAGTATTAAATTTGCAATATTTTAATTTCAACTGGTATATTTTATTTTAATTTTAATTTCAACTGATATATTTTATTTTAATTTTAATTTCAACTGGTATATTTTATTTTAATTTTAATTTCGACTGGTATATTTTATTTTAATTTTAATTTCAACTGGTATATTTTATTTTAATTTTAATTTCAACTGGTATATTTTATTTTATTGAAATTTTACACTGTTGAAGAACGAAATAATTAAATTATCCTGGAGAAATTTGGACATTTTAAAGTAGTTCATGAAATAATAAACTTTTAAATACCACCTTCAAAACTTTATAAAAACACATAAACATTTGGTTTGCAATTGACTCAAATAAAATCAAAAAATCTTCTTTTTTTTAATCAAGTTCAAATATCAAATCATTTGTTTCAGTTTTAACTTGTTCATGATTTTGTTGTGGCTCTTTTCAATATTTCTTCAACGTCAGTTGGAGAAATATTTAAAAGTTTATGTATTGGCTAACGTTGATGCATTGGCCAGCACAACCATATGAAAAATATTTGCTTTTTTAATCTTTAATAAAAATTTTAATAGCATTTTGTATATCATTTACCAAATTACCATATTTTATATTATAAAATATAAAACGACTTGGTAATATTAGTATAATTAACGAATTGTTAACATTTCTAATTGGTAATATTTGTTCATATTTTTAACAGCTTTAATTCAATCCTTTTAATTTTTATTTTTATATATATATATATTTTTCTGTACCTTTAATATCTACAATTTAGTAATTTTGTGAATAAAACAAACATCTATACAGTGACTACCTTTTTTTTATATATATAATGTTTGTTTAAAATTAAAAGATATTAAAAAGGTTTGATTTAAATACTTTAAAATATTAAATACAATTTGTCTCTTTCATCTCCAGAAATCTTTATTCATTAAAGATTTCTGGAGATAAAAGAGACAAATTATTTTCAAATCTCAAGAATAATTTATTCATTAAGTTTTTCGATTGTAGAAGTTTAAGAAATATTTGTTTATGAAAAAGTTTACATTCAATTGTGTAAAAAATTATTATGATTCCAAAACAGATAAAATTGATAAAGGTTTCTGACAAATAAATTATTATGATTCTAAAACAGATAAAATTGCAAAAAGTTGCTGACAAATAAATCATTATGATTCTAAAACTCTGGGCAAGTTTTGCGACATCGGTTGGGAAGGAGGCATGAACTTCCTATTAAATGCTCTTCTGCGGTGCTCTGTGATAAGACCGTAAGGACTTCTTGGGGCACCTAAAATCAACATTAAAAAAAAAAAAAAAAAAAAAAAAAAAAAAAACAGATAAAATTGAAAAAAGACAAATAAATTAAAATGATCAATTATGATTTTTCATTAAAAAATTTTAAATATTGCAAATTTCAAATCCAAAAGAAAAAGCTAAGACCCCTTCATTTTTAAAAGATGTTGTTTTGAACCTATGTGCAGTTAAAATAGCAGAGAACCACAGAAGTCTTTTTAAAATTTGTACCCAAATTTGTACCAACTAAAAAATCTACCCTAATTAGACATCAGTAATAGAATCTTCTGCATTTAAGCTAGAGCTGCGAATAAAATACCAAACTTATGCAATAATATGTTAAAATAACTAAAATTGTTTAATCCGCTAAAAATAGCAATTTAAATCCACACACAAGCATTAAAATAAATAAAAAAATAACAAAAAAATTGATATCCACTATTTCGGGCTTCGTTAAAATTAAACACAACAAAGTAAAAAAATGAGGACCTTACTCCTAAATTTGCAAAAAAAAAAACTAGAACTCATTTATCAAAGTTAAATAAGAATGGACAATTTTGAAAACAAGAAAATGAAAGTCTACAGGCCTAGCGACCCAATACTATCACGTAGGTATGGTGTAATTAAACCGCATAAGCCAGAAAAGTATACCGTATGCAACTAGTAGTTTCAACAATCGGGACACTAAGTTATGGAATATCACAATATTTAGCAAATATATTTCAACCAATTAAAAAAAAAATTCTAAGTTGAAGAATTTATTAACTTTTGTTAAACATCTAAGTTATGAAATATATTAAATGATGAAATACAAGTGTCCTATAGCGTTGTAGATCTATGCCTCTTAATCTGTAATAAGCTATAAAAATTCTGCTTGATATATTAGATCAAAAACATCTTTAAATGAAAAATTATGTAAAAATTACATTATCTTTTTGAAAAAACTTGTAAAAACTTAAAACAGATTCACTACTCAAGATTAATTGAAAATGTTAAAAACAACTTTAAACGCACTTGGAAATATTTAAAGAAATTGGTGGAAAACAAAAACTTGCTCAGGTTCTTTACCACAAGTGTTTAGAGTGGATAACAAAGATGCTTTTAAACCTAAATTAATAGCTCATGAGTTCAACAAATTCTTCATTAACATCGGTTCCAAACTGGCAAATAAAGTTCCTAATACCCAAGTTGTGTTTAATAACTTTTTAACACCGATGGATAATTGCATTTAATCCAATAAAAAATCTTCTTAGCTATCATTTGAGGAGTTTCGGTTGTCATTTAAATCTATTAAAAAAGGAGCGAATGAAATCTATTAAAAAAGGAGCGAATGAAATAAGCGGAAACATAGTCTTAGAATGCTTTGAACAATTAAACTCTCTTTAAAATTTTCAAAGCGTCAATACATCAAGAAGTTTTTCCTGATCAGTTAAAAATAACCAAGATAATCTCAATCTACAAAGAAGGAGACAGAGCTAATATATATAACTAACAACTTATTGCTATTTTATCAATATTTTTAAAAATTTTAGAAAAAATTATTTACAATAGATTTATACTTATTTTAAGGATAAGAATGTTTTAATATATATAATTGACCTCAACTCAACAATTGCTGATGACACAAACCTATTCCAATATTATTAAAACATACAGTATCGGACAAAACAAGCGCAACCAAATAATGCTAATTTAGTTTCTTTATATAAAAGTGCTGCATTTTTCCAATTTAGAGAAATAACTATGTAACTGTTTAGAGACAACGTTCTTCAAGTTTTATTCATCACAAAGTTCATTATTTGTACACGAAAGTTAACAAATTAATCAAAAGTATTAAAAAAAAATTGATTTCCTTCTGGACAAAACGAGTGCAACTCCACAAAATGTTAACCAAGCTGTATTTCGCTATCAATATTTCGTGGCGAATCCTTTGTTATTGATTGCAGCCTTGCATCTTTGATGCATAGACTGGATCAGGTGATCAATGAAATTTTGTGAAATCGCTGCCTAGGCCTTTAGGATTTGTTCAAAAAGTTGATCCTTATTACGAACACCTTCACGATTAATTCTGCGGTTGACGATCTCCCACAGGTTCTCGATAGGGTTGAGATCCGGAGATTGAGGCGGCCAATCCATCACCGATAGGTGGTTGTCTTGAAACCACTGCTTGAGTACTTTTGCAGTGTGTTTCGGATCGTTGTCTTGCTAAAAAACCCATTTTATTGGCATATTCCATTCGGCATAAGGTAACATAACATCTTTCAGGATATTTTTATACATGAAGCGGTCCATTATTCCATCGATTCGATGTATTGGACTTAGACCGTTAGCAGAAAAACATCCTCAGAATATTACATTGCCTCCACCATGCTTCACGGTCTTATGGCAGTAATGTAAAT